ATGCAACTCTTTTTTTAAATATTTTCTTAATATCTTACTTGTGGTCCATGCCACAAATAAATCTGATTAACATAAACTCTAAGACTGGGTTCCTATCCCTAGATCGATCTTACAGTATTGGTCCAACTCCACGAGGTTTTCCTGTTAAATTGCTTTCAGTTTAAGTGGCTTAGGTGTCTGGCACGCCTGCTAAAGCTGCTAAACAATAGTTAATTACCCCTTATCTGCTTCAGTAGGGGTGACAAACATCTAAGCCGCTCAAGTTAATTGCAATTAAGCAAGAATCCCCTTAGCTATAGTTTGATCCAAAGTTAGTACGACAGTCTCTGGAAATAGTCTCCAACTTGAAAATTCTGTATTTTCAGATGGGATGAATCTGTTGTCACACACACGTGCCATACCCAAACTATGATACCTGAGATTCTTCCTCCTGGACTTCCCATCAACTTCCCCAAGCAAAGTGGACGGTTCCCATATGGGTCTCTAAATGCGTAAATTTTGTCCCCAAAATACAGCAATACACAGTATGAAGTCTGACTCTCACTCATAAACTGGCGAATCCTACAAGAAAAAAAAATATTATTTTACAACTACTGATCTTTTGTCAAAATGCATAACAGAAAGCACTACTTGCCAAAACCTAATTCATTTAACACGTATCATGATCTCTATTATATTTTTTGAAGAGATGATAATTATAGCCATCAACAGTTCCTATGGAAGAATGACTATTATTCATTTGACAAACAAAATTACATCAAAAGACACTTCAACGGAAAATGTAATATCCAAGCACAACAAAACTCCTTCCAGTGATTTTGAGCACACCTTGAAATTTCACTATAAAAACCTAGAGATTATTCAGCTTGGCTGGTGCTTTTACAATATTCTATTATATTACTGTAGGAAAAATGTAAAAAGAAAAGAATAAGAAAAACTGCTTGTATGACCCCATTCACCCAACACATTTCAACACCTGTCACAGGACATCTAACACAATTTGTACCTTGCAGGCCAATCAGGACCACTCTCTTCACTCTCTGGAGGCGATAAACAAAGCAACTGTGTCATTAACTCGCTGTCAGACTTTGTGGACAAACCAACTCCTCTCTGTAAGACCTGCAAAGAAAAACAATTTGTTTCAGTTTTGCCAGTACTGTGAATGCATTGCAATGCAAATTGGTGCTGTCTGCATACATGTAAAAAAAAATACATGAGTTTGTTAATTTATAGGAATGTATAATTTAAGCATTTATATTTGCATCATGGTTTGGTTGTCATTTTTTTTAAAGTGGAGAGATAGATTGTTGTCAGTTTTTTATCAAAACTGCATTTTGGCAATGTGAAACAAACAAACAAACAAACAAACAGTGTGAAATAATGAGCCTTGACAAAACACAAGAAATTATTACTTTTCTAATTTCTTCCACTTTAAAAAACAAACAACTAAGTAAATGTAAGTAATATGTACCTTTTCCCTGAGCATTTTAGCATTGACCAGTTCTCCGTTGTGGGCCACAGCAATCAAACCATGCATTGTGTCCACTACAAATGGCTGACAGTTGACCAGCTGGGAGCCCCCTGCTGTGGAGTAGCGGTTGTGACCTGGAATATAATATTTTTTATTGTTTTACTCACATACTACAAATGTTATGGAGGGCGATATATATATTTTCATAACTTATGTTACAAGATGCAAATTGGGAATAAAGGGAGAAACGGATGGATGGACAGGCAGATAGATAGACAGATAGAAGAACTGTGACTTATTCAAAAGCTTCTACAGTGCAGTTAGAAGTGAACCTCTTGTCCGAAAAACAAACCAAAACAAAACAAAACAAAAGTTCCAACACCAGGTGTTGATGCATAACCTTTGGATGACAGAGCTTATGATATTTATGTAACTGGAGGGAAAAATATTTATATCTTTATGTATCTTTTGTAAACTGATCATGCTGAATATGTAAGCTTTTCGTGTACTTTGCCTCATGTACTTTGAACATTGGTTTTAAAAATTATAAAATCAGGGGCGGATTTAGGCCGTCTTCTTGGTCTTCCGGAAGACGGTCAGATTTTTAAGTTTACATTGACGGGTATCTAATGTTTTCTGTCGGAAGACGGTCAAAAATGGAGGATGGATTAACAAAGATAATTTAGAAGACTGTCAGAAAATATCTCTGGATCCGCCCCTGAAAATAGACTAAAACCAGGCATTCATTCATGAGTTTTTTTTTTTTCATACTATTTTCATATAAAAAGTATTTTCTTCAGCTATCACATATTATTTTTGTAGCAAATTCTAAATAAAATTTGCCATGGTGAAGAAGGAAAATCTAGTATAGTTTATTTCATGAATAGCTATTTTAAAATGCAATACTGAATTGATGAAAGCAATTAAGTTATCAGACAAAGCAAAATCAAACAAACAAACAAAAAAGTACATCAAACTGATATTAAGGCTACTGATCTAAAGTTTGTCCACCAAGGCAGTGTCTAAAAAATTATTGACCTAAAGCAGAAACAATTAAGTTAACAAAATATCAATGGCCCTGCTTTAACTTTATTGGTGTTTAGTATGGAGCTATTGTTGATATAAAAAATGTGACAGAGTAACAGAAGACATATGCACCAACGTACCAATGGCCAGATTGCCCTTCAGTCTGGACAGTGCATGGTCATCAAACACTGTGTTGACCAGTCCCATCTCCTTGTGGCAGAAAATTTTGTGGGGGTCATCTCCATAGCTGGTCACAATGCCTGCACTTTCTTGACCACTGTGAAAGAAATTATTTTAAAAATGCTGTAGACATAATTTCATTTCTCTACTTCTATGATCAGATATCAGAATTAGGTAATCTTATCTGGGCAGAAAAAAACTCAACAAATAAAGGCAAGTTCTTCAAGTGAATAAGTTTATCTTATACCTGGTATTTGAAGGAAAAGTTAAATGATCAAAACTGAAAAAATGTATAGGTGTAAAATACTTAGTCCGCCAATAATGTCTGGCAACACACCTGTCATACCTAGTATATCTAAGGCCAGGAAAAAATGTGATTATCCCTGATGCCATTAAAGAAAAAAAAAAACTGGATAACATTTCAGGCATTGTTTTGGATTAACATCATGAGTTTCAGGGGGCACTGTTAACTCTTCTTCTTCAGATGGACTTTGAAATATAAGTGGAAAAAATCCATCCTTCATATGATGTGACATACAGTAATGCTATGAAAACAAGCTAATGTTTTTCTCATATAGCAATAAATATCACGTACTGTAGTTAAAATATAGAAGGTCACCACACTTACTGACTAAAAAGCAATCACAAATGCAGCTTTGAATATTGCTTACTTTTTTGAAGCTTTCTTGGAATTTGAAATGCAATTTTCCTTTTTTTGTTTTTTGGTTTTCAATTTTACCAAAAACCCGGTGTGATATTTTTTCAGTGACAGCTATATCAGGTACTGAGTTCAATATTACTTATCATAATAACAAGAACAGCAGATTTTAATGAGCCCAATCACTTTTCCCCCCAGATCAATAACAGGAAACACTGTGATTTGCACCATATATATATATATATATATATATATATATATATATATATAAAGTAAAAGTGTTTTTCCTGTACGAGTATATATTATATACAATAAAAAGAAAAAAAAGAACATCAGCTATTTTGCCCCGACCGGTTTCATTCTTTCTTCACATATATATATATATATATATATATATATATATATATATATATATATGTGAACTAATTGTCGCGATATACTAAACCCGGATACGATGAGACAGACTTAACAAAGGAGAAGAAATAAGACTGATATACTATAACAGCAGTGTGGCCATCGCAGTTAAAAGGTAATGGTGCCTTACAATGTCGGAGAGAAATCACCAAGGTGACCTGACGCACCTGCTGTGTGTTAATTTGTCTTTATATTGGGATTGGGATAGAACAAAATACGAGTCTGGGGGGGGGG